GGAAAGTTGGGGACATGGCATGTCCCCAAAAGATGGAGTAGGTCTGGTGGGGACAGATGGGCACAACTGTGTCTGCTCCTAGGGAAACTTGGGAACAGAGGGGGAAAGCAGGGTTGGTCCATGCTTCCTCCAGGTGCCCGGCAGCAGCAGCACACCTGGCTTTCCACAGCATGGTCCTTGTGCCAGGAACAGATCTCCTCCCTTCCCCAGCTGAGAACTGAGGGTCCTTCTGGACTCAGCCTGTGTGGTGACGCTTTGATCTCCTGCTGGTGCCCATAGTTTGAGGCCTTGCTTTTCTCCCCTTGCAGATGTGCTGAAGTTTGCCATGCAAAGGATTTGTCCTCACCTTTGGATAATGAAATCCTCTTTTGTCTCTATTATTAAGAAGTTTTAATCCCCTAGGGTGAAGGACATGAACTCCAGCCTCTTTAATTTACAGTGGACGTGATGGAGGACAATTTGATTGTGGTGGGACAAGCAATATAGTACCATGAAGCTCTGAAATTGTTGGTATGAAATGCAGCCATTGGAGCCACCAGAGACTTGGGACAACTTGCTATTGAAACACTTCAGTTTGTTGCAGAATAAAACGCAGCAGTTTAGCACTGAGGGTAGGATGGCTTGATAAATTGTATGGCTTAAATTATTAGTTTTAACAACTCTACATCTAGGTTTGGTGTGGATTTTCTTTCATTGGCTTTAATGTTTTGCACTGTTAAGCTAGTTCCTGAATAGCTGTTATTTACTGTGGTTTTGTGTTGTTGGATGAAGATGTTGTTACAGCAGGTGTGATGTTGTTGCCTTTCAAAGGGCTTTTTCAGCCCCGCGCTGTTCTAATTGTACGGATCACTTAGTGGATGTTAATCAGAGGTATTAAAGGACAGTAGAGGAAATTTTTACTTCTTACTACAAGGCTGTGACTTGTTTCACTGAAGGCAAACGTGGATAGTGTTTACTAACTCCGGTGCTGCTTTTTGTCCTTTCCCCTTCTTCTTGGAGCCTTGGGGTGACAGTCACAGCTGAGCAAGAACGACTTACAGAACCTGTGTTTCTCATTGGGTTTTGAATGCCCTTGAATATAGTTGGTGGAAAGGAGAAGTTCTGCAGTGCTGTACTGCCTCTCAGTGGCTTTTCAGTTTATTTCCTAAAATATTGTATTATGAAAAAAATCACTTTATTGTATAGCGTAACTATCTGGAGTATTTCTGCTTTTCCTTTGGTCCCCATACAATGGCTACAACCGTGAGCACCAGCAGCGGCTGGCAGAGATGCGTGGGACATCTGGCCACCACCTGAAGCTGGGGACAAGTTTCTGCCCAGCCAAGGTGGCTGCCCGTGCTATCACTTGTCTCAGGGGCTGTAGCTATTTTTTCCTGTGTCTCCATCCTTTACGCCCTGGAGACCTACCCAGGTGGATTAGGCACTGTCTGTCCCCAACCTGAGGTGTTTGTTCCCAGTGAGTGTGGGGCAGTGGTGTGCCCTGACCCCCTGCCACCCAGGTGGGTAACCAGAGCATGATGAATCTGCTTGGGCTTGGAGCCCATGTGCCTCTCCCAGCCCTTGGCGCTGCTATTTTGGTAAACTGTTACTTCATACTCCAGTGAAGACGTGACCCTTCTCAGTGTTGATGAATAAAACATTGTGATCATCACAGGATCAAATTAGTGTCTATCTTTAACAGCAGGGCCACCCTGGCAGCCTGGGGGGTGGTGTCACTGCCAGGAGCACCCCTCAGCCCAGCCAGCACCATGCTGGTGCTGTGCCCTGCACGTGAGGTGGTGCATGGGCTGTGCTCAGGGCTGGGTGCCAGTGGGTCCCTGGAGGGCAAGGAGGCCAGGAGAGACTGGTTGGGGCCACCAATGCCCATTAGTGTTCTCCGGCCAGTGACAGGCAACCATCCTGTGCAACCCAAGGGTCATCCATCATTTGCTAAACACGCCCCAGTTGGGCTCTGTGGAAAAGAGCTGTTTAGACAGCAAGTTTTGGAGAGTTGCATGTTGTTCATGCTAATGATATGCAAATTACACCCCACAAACAGCTGAAGGGAAAATTCAAGGCAGGGGTGGGGTGAGCGATGTGAGATGTGTCCCTACCGGTGCTTATGGGTGACCTTCAGGAGTGGCACTACAGCTGGTAGAAGAAAGTAGCCCATGTTTTAAAACTGCATGGATGTTTGTTATTCCACAAGAAGCAGAGAATTAAAATCACAGACATGAAAGGAATGTAACGATTGACACATAAATATAATAAGCTTCTAGCGCTCTTGCATTTCACTTACAAAAAAAATCCCAGATTGAGACCTGAGACCACCACTCTCTGGAGTGTGACTTAAGGCATTTCTGTACGCCTGCTTTAGGGCTCTGCCCTAACCCTGAGCCTGAGAACCCCAGTACAGCTCCTGAACCTACACCAACAGACAAGGAAAAAGAATTTATTTGCAGTAAGTCAGATACTGATAATTTTACCCAAATAGCTGTTGTTTTTTTTTTTTCCTCTAGAAACAGACTGCATTGACAACAGCTGCTCTAAATGTGACTAATAATTCAAAGACTACAGTCTTTGAACAATCATTTGTTTAGGTCTTATATTTTGGACTATATTATTAGAGGCTGAGTCACAACTAGGTTACACTCAATTATTTTGCATTTAGGCTAGACAATACTTCCTTTTTGCTGGACAGCATTGCAAATTCTTTCTGCTTTGAAGAGGTTTATTTCCTGGTGTGTTTTCCTAAAGCAAGCAGTTTCCTAGGGGTCTGTTTGAGCAGAAATTGATTGACCTGGACAATTCTTCCATAGTAACGCTGTGAGTGCAGTAAGTGGAAATGCAATAGGGGTGGAAGAGAGGTGAAGAGGTATTGCCGTTACAAATAGATGTAAGTTATAAGCCCACATATTTCTTCCTTCCAAACCACAGCTTGAAAATTCAATCTGGTGTTGCAATACTTATTTTTAGCAGGGCTGATTTATTGAGGCAGCAGGTCAGCATCGGAGCTGGCTCATGCCAGTCTTTTGGTGGCTGTGTGGTATGCAGTGACAGGCCATCCCCACCATGATTGTCCATGTGGAGGGGATGCTGGCTCTGGGCAGGCATACGCACCGACTGCTCCTCTTTCCATTCCAGTTTTAGCGTGGTCTTTAGTCCATTTATGTTTACATTAAATTTTTTCTTATTTTCTGAAACACCAGTGGAATATATGAAATGTATGAAAAAGCTGCAGATAGGAAGGAGGGCATGCTGCGTGACTTTCTTTGTTGGTACACTATATGCTGGGAGAGCAGCAAAGTGAGGTTGGTTTGCTTTAGAAGGCAGTGAGCAGCAGGAGACTGCGGGACCCAGCAACAAACTGGCAGTGGTGGGTACTGGTGCAGGGCCATGAAAAGTGGCAGTGGTGTGGATGGAGGCTGGACATTGGGGTGTCACATGAAGGGTAACTGCTGCATGGAACTGATCTGCATTTTCACGCTTTTTTTCTCATTTGGCACCTCATGCCCCCATTTGAGAGGGGTCTGGTGCTGTCTCAGCTGGCCCCTTCTGTTGAAAGGGCTCTGATAAAATCAGCACGATAGAGGCACTTCCATATTGAAGTTGATGCTTTAGGATTGCCTTGGGTGAACAGTGAATTCAATGTAGTATTCTCTTTATCCAGTATCACTGTGAATTAGGGTAGGTTGCTGTGGCGCTTCACTGGAGGGCAGGAGGGCTGGCTCTGCCAGGAGATGAGGAGGTGGTACCTGAAAGCTGTGAGCTTTTGCCTAAACCAACAGTGAGCCTGGGGTAAAGACAGTGCACAGCATGTGCTGTAAAGGCACATCTGTGCTTCAGCTGGTGGTTGGCATGGGAGAAGAGGGTCAGAAGTTCCTGAAGTGCAACAAAATAAATGACCGGGTTTGTGGTAGTTCCAGATTTGGCCACATCTTCCTCCCTCCGCACGGTGCTGCCAGCGCTGAAACAGCAAGTGGCAGTCAAGCAGAGCAAGCTGTCCTGAGAGCTCCTGGGGAGGGACAGAGGGAGTACAGGTCTCCTCCTTCCATTCCTCTTCACCCAGCTGTGCCTCCTCTTCTGCTGTTGCCGAAAATCCAGCTGCTTTATCTGTTGTTTTTGCCTCTCTGTCTCTGAAGCTGGTGGCTGAGAAATGGGTGATCTGAGCTGTAGGAAGGAGAGATGGGTTTGCTGCTCTGCGTGCCCATCCCGTGTGTGTGTGCCTGCGGGGGGCACAGGCTCAGCCTTGCCACTGCTTGGGCATGGGACCAGGGCAACCTCACTGCCCTCAGCTGGGGTCACACACTCTGATCTTAGAACTCAAAGAAAACATTGGAAAGATTGACTAAACCCTGCTCTTTCTCTGTATTTGGGCTAATGACACAGCTCAGCTTTCAGTCTTCTGGGATGCTTTGTGCTCTCTGGTCCTCTGAAGGATGCTCCATCCCCAAGGGCTGCTCAGTGTGCAAGAATGAGTGGCTATGCTTCTTTGCAGTTGGTAAAACTTCAGCAAAGGAAATAACTCAAATTTTAATTGAGCTTTTTACCTCTTCAGTTAATCTTGAAAGCAGGGTTCTTGGTACTGCAGTCGTTCTTTTTACCCCTCCCTCTATGTGTGCCTGTGCTTGTAGTGTTTCCTTAGTGGAATTATTGTTACCTGTTTGAGTCCACTCTGTACAGAAGCAGGTGCCTCTGGGAAATGCATAGAAATTTCTTAATCCCGAGAACAGTAGAGATTAAATCTGATCTTTTGAATATTAACCAGAAGATTTGTAAAAGATTATGTATTTTTTCTGCCAAACCTATTATTGCACAACTGCTTTGGTGTGTTAATACAAGATGAAGGGTGCACGTTGCCAAAGTAGGAGGTGCTTGTTATTGCCTGAGACATGACGGTGGGTTACATGCTGCTGTGTGATCCAGCTGGGTATCTCTGTAAGCTGGGCTGTGTTGGAACTGCTGCGTGATGAAGCAGCAGCTAATAGCTCCTGAATATTCAATATATCCTTTGGCATTTGAGTGTCACTTTGCAACAGCCCTCTGTTCACAGGCCACATTCTGGTCCTTATTTTCAACTGCCTCTTTCCTCCTGAGCCCTCCTACCAGCTGCTGTTGCCAAATGCAGGAAAAGCGGGTGATGGGGGTGGAGGAGCCTCGGTGGTTAATCTGGGGTTGAAGTGCTGGCTCGGTTAGCTCGGAGTGGCTGAACCTCTTGCTGAAGAAACACGTTTTCTGGGGAGCTGCACAGCAGAGTAACCTCTGCCCGGGTGATCTGATGAGAAATCACCTTCTGGCCGGGACCCAAACTAAACATGGGATTAACTTTGCCCTACGCGTGTGCTGGCTCGTAGCTGTTAAGAGTCAGTGAGAGTGCTTAATCCAGTCAGTCTGGGAAGAGCTGTGCCCGTAGAGATGGGAGCCAAGCTGCTGTGCCTCTTCCTTGTCTCTGCCCTCATTGCTTACTACATCTACACTCCAATCCCTGAAGACATTGAGGAGCCCTGGAAAGTGATGCTAATCACGGCTAGCTTCAGAGCCATGGGGCATCTGGTGAGTTTGGTGCTGGGCTTGGTGCGGGGCTGGCCTGGGGGAGAGCACCATGGAGCAGAGGGTGTTCTCAGTGCCTCCATAACTAATAGAGATATGGGAATATACTTGTGTCGTACATATATAGATATATATATGGTGATGTACTAAGTGAAGGACAGTAGCACCTGAAATTAAGCATTAAACTTACTGTAAAGAAACATAGAAAAGATTTAATTGTGCAGTCTTGACAAAAAGGACACTCAGAGTCACTGGAAATGCGATCTGGAATGTGAATATGGATAGATAAATGCAAACAAATTTATTTTGCTTTGTGATCCTTTGCAGCTGAAGCACTGCTCCTTGAATTTTTCCTGTTTCTCAGAACCTGTATATCAAGCTGCCTTGGAAGTATTGTACTGGGTGTCAGAGAAGGGAAGACTAGAGCACTTCTTAAATACTACTGATTTTTGCGGTTTCATAGACATCTACTGACATAATAGGCCTAAAAACTATGCAAAGCTAATTAGAGGGGTGATAACACTAGAGCATGTAGAAATTAAACTACATATATATATATAACTTTTTTTTAATACCACTGTAATCTTGCCTACCAAAAAATGGTATCTAGCTAAGCAGCACAGAACCATATGTCACAGACGGGAAAGGCAGTGATATTATACCCTGTCTGTAGTTATATGGCAATATTTACTGACAACACAGTCCTTATGTCTTTCCATGCTATTTTTATATATACTACATCCCCGGCTTCTGCTTCATTTCAGTCATGTTATACAGCCATTTCAAACATATGTAAATAATCTGTGAGGCTGCACACCATGCCTAAATAACGGTGCTGTAGTTCCCACCTCTTAAGTTCGTTAAGCTGGGAGCTGTTTTGAATCCAGCCTGTACTTAATATGCAATGGTGGCTGCAGCAGTGTAACCAAAATCTAAAAACAAGGTCAAAGATAAAAGTCTGGGGGGAGGAGGAAGGGCTGAGTGGTGCAGGCGTCTTTCTGGTGGCTACAAACATTTTGAGAGTGCTTTTTTTCTCCACCATAAAATATATTGAAAGGAGAGTCTAGGGAGCCAGGAGAGAGAGGTTTCTAGTTTTGCTTGAGGGATGCTATTGAAAGGCTTGTAAGCTGCAGGCACAAACACAAATGGCACAGAGCTTGTTTGCTCCAAAGTACATTAGTTTGGGATTTTGCCTTTCCTGTTGTTTCAGTTAAATTGTGGTGGGTGTGATTTTCAGAAGTCTGTGGGAGCCACTTTTATGATTTTTCTGGTGGAGGCAAAGGTGCAGGTTTCCTTGGGATGTCTCCTAAACATCACGCTTCTGGACAGTATCCAACAGCCACTGTCAATCTCCAGAGCCATCCCTGTGTCAGACAGCTTGTGTTTGCAGTGGAGAGCTCTTGTGAAGTCTGTACAGCCAGCAGAGGGAGGAGGGGGAAAATTTTGTGTGTGCATTTACTCATGGACCCTTCGCTGCTTCCTTGTCTGTTTTGATCTTGTGGTTTGAGGTCTGAGTGGTAGGAGATGAAAAAATGGTGAGAAAGAAACCATAGTCTGCAGTTTTGATGTGCTGCCTAGCTTCTTCCCCTCTTGAATCTGCTTTTGGAGGTAGCCTGCAAGGAGGATATGTGCAGAGGTGACTCATTTCCCCAGGAACACCTCATGTTCCACTCACTCAGACCTGTAGCCTTCAGCACAGCAGTACTCAGCAAGTAAAAGCATTTTATTTCAGCGCTGGAGAATTGTGCTTTTGCTTTAATGTGGAGTTGGTGTCTTTCATGGCCATTGCATTGGCTGCCTGCTAAGCCTAAGTCTGTTACCAGCAGCGGTGGTCCAGGGCAAGTGTGTTTTATAACTGCACTCCAATCTCATGCAGAACCGTAATCCCAAGAGACTCTGATGAAGATGTCCTCCCTGCAGCTGCACTGGTGCAAATTAGATTTGAGATGGCTCTAAAATGTCCTAAATACATTCTGAACTGTCATCCGATTATAGGGTAACAACTTATAATCGTTTAATAGTAGGTCTAAGTTTGCGCTGGGGACCCTATTTCAGTTTTTCTGACTCCCTGATGTTGGCTTGAAAAAAGAAATAATACTGCCACCACCAGATGCTCCTGAGCAAGAGAGTCCTCTCCGAGCTCCCAAAAGGACATACCATGAAATGGAAAATCTCTATCCTTCTTTGTCTTCTTTGCTTTAATAGGTCCTGGGGAGCTCTCTAGCTTCTGAGCCAAATTGTGCAAGATTTTCTCCAGTTTCATGTTTCCTGGCCTGGATGAGTTAATGGTTTGAATACAATCTGTGCCAATCCCAGGCTGTTCTCCAAGTCTCTGCTGGGCAGGGTGGTGAGTGCTGAGGGGCTCCAGAGGCTGATGGGAGGCTCAGGGTTAGGTCCTGCCCTGGGTTAGCCAGGAGGGAGTTGCAACCATGCCTGGTTTCACTGGTGTGCATGGCCTGTGCTGTGCTGGAGTCCCTCTGCACCCATCTCATTGCAAAAGTGAGACTGGGAATGTCTCCTTTTGCTGTTTAGCTAGGGAACAGCCTCTAATAGTCCCAAGCATAAATACAGGCTGGGTAGAGAATGGATTGAGAACAGCCTTGAGGAAAAGGGGAGGCCATGAAGCAGTAGAGAATGGATTGAGAACAGCCCTGAGGAAAAGGAGAGACCATGAAGCAGAGCAAGAGAGTCCTCTCCGAGCTCCCAAAAGGACATACCATGAAATGGAAAATCTCTATCCTTCTTTGTCTTCTTTGCTTTAATAGGTCCTGGGGAGCTCTCTAGCTTCTGAGCCAAATTGTGCAAGATTTTCTCCAGTTTCATGTTTCCTGGCCTGGATGAGTTAATGGTTTGAATACAATCTGTGCCAATCCCAGGCTGTTCTCCAAGTCTCTGCTGGGCAGGGTGGTGAGTGCTGAGGGGCTCCAGAGGCTGATGGGAGGCTCAGGGTTAGGTCCTGCCCTGGGTTAGCCAGGAGGGAGTTGCAACCATGCCTGGTTTCACTGGTGTGCATGGCCTGTGCTGTGCTGGAGTCCCTCTGCACCCATCTTATTGCAAAAGTGAGACTGGGAATGTCTCCTTTTGCTGTTTAGCTAGGGAACAGCCTCTAATAGTCCCAAGCATAAATACAGGCTGGGTAGAGAATGGATTGAGAACAGCCTTGAGGAAAAGGGGAGGCCATGAAGCAGAACAGAGGGTTGGAGCACCTCTGCTGTGATAACAGGCTGAGAGAGTTGGGATTGTTCAGCCTGGAGAAGAGAAGCTCTGGGGAGACCTTATAGGCCTTTCCAGTCCCTACAGGAGAGATGGGGAGGGACTTGTTATCAGGGAGTGGAGCGATAGGATGAGGAGTAATGGTTTTAAACTGAAAGAGGGGAGATTTGAATTAGACGTTAGGAAGAAATTCTTTACTGTGAGGGTGGTGAGATAGTGGCACAGGTTGACCAGAGAAATTGTGACTGTCCCATCCCTAGAGGTGTTCAAGGCCAGGTTGGATGAGGCTTTGAGCAACCTGGTCTAGTTGAAGATGTCTCTGTGCATGGCAGTGGGGTTGAAACCAGATGATCTTTAAGGTCCCTTCCAACTCAAACGGTTCTATGAATAAACCAGTTGGTTTCTGTGGTGCTTAAGCACAAAATTCTGCATGTATTTTCATGAAGTACCATGTGCACACTGTCTAAGATCAAACATGTGAAGAAAGTATAAAACGCAATGCAACATCTTTCTCCTAACTGATTTTTCCTCTGGCTGCAGTTGTGTGAAATCCTCCCAAAGCTTCTTCCATCTGTGACCTGGCTCATTAGGAGCAATAAGATCTGGATTAAGGGCCTTTACAGCCCCATCGCAAACTACCTGTGTTGAGCTGATGGAAAGCTTCACCGTGAGGGTGCCTCCCTCTGCACTATTGCCCTGGTCAGATAAATCAGCTGCTAAAATCAGTGCCAGGCTCTCTGCTTGCCAAGGCACAAATCCCTTCCTCAGAAATAAGTTTTGGGTTTTTTTGTCCTTGCTGCCAAGATGGAGAAAGTGATTGTGGAAAATGCTTTCCAAAGCACAAGGAACACAAAACCCCAAAGTGGTTGGTTTTCCTCTTACCCCGTAACATACCATTATCTCAGATCGGGGACAATGAGACTTTTCAGATGAGGGTATGATTTCCTTTCAAGTTTATATGATAATGGCCTTGAAACCACAGGCAGCAGACCAGTGGTTTTCCACAATGTGAAATGTCTGCTTGTGGAAAAAACAGCTCTGAGAGTGTTGAAAAGCCTCAGTCCTGAAGCTGAGGGAATTCCTCCCAACGCGGGGGAATTTCAGAGGCTCAGTGGAATTACAGCGGGACTCACTTTGGCCTATATATTTATTTTTTCAAGATGCTAATCCTCAGGGGAAATACAACAGCTGAGAAATATTTATGTAAACTGTGTAATCACTGCGGATAAAACCAGGCAGTTTTGGCATGTGTATGTATTTGTCTTCATCGAGCTTATGACAAGGACCCGAGTTCTCCTTCTGCGCAGTGTGCCAATTCCTGCCTGTTTGTCTTCATCCCAAACCACAGATTTTGGCAGAGCTCCCAGCATCGCCGGGTCCAAGCCTTCAGAGAGGTGACTCTTAAATAGGGTGGCAATCCCAATCAAGTGTTGTCAGTAAGGTCTTGGCTGTATTTTCTTTTCTTCTAACTTCTGAAAAAGTAGGTTGTATGTAGAAGATGACTAAATAGTTAATATAAATGTAATTGAAAGAAAATTACAAAAAGAAAAACAAGCAGGGTTAGATTGTATGATTTACAATGTCAAACCCCGAATGCCAGATGTTATAGCTTTCAAGAGGTGATCAATTAAAGTGTGTGGGGGTTTGTGTGTTTGTTTTACATTATTCCTGGGAAGAGTAAAGCATATCTTGGAATGCTGAACTTCCGACAGGTTCTGCACCAGGCTGGGCTATTTTATTTCTTATTAAACTCAAACCTGCTTTGAGTTTAACTTGTTTTTCATCTTCAAATAACACGTAAAACCAAGTTCTGCCTTACTGCTTAATCATTTCTATTGCTATGTGATGAGGCAGTTAGGAGACTTGTATGGCAAGTCGGGTCATGTCCCTGATCACTGGGGGTGGGTATGAGGGAGCCGAGAAGCTGGTGCTGGCAGCTGGTGCGGTGGCCAGTGTGGCTAGTGGTGGCCAGTGGTAGCTCTCTTTGGCACATTGGTGCAGGCAGGACACCAACCTGGAGACCAAGGCTGGGGAAATGACCCATAGGAAATGCTGAGCGTGCACGAAACTGGCAACCCTGATGTCAATGTCAGGTATTTCCCAAGGCCCTTTCTGATCAAATTGTACCATAGTGATGGGAGTGTTTGTTTTACTAAACAGTTCCAAGTAGATTAATAACTTAGGCCTGGTGTTAATTAAGTTATCTTCTGAACCAAACGTTCTGATGAGTTATCAGTGCAGTTATAGAATTGTTTGTGCCTGCTCAAATAATTATACAGCGGACTGAAACTTAGACAGGTGCTTTTTTTGTCACAGTGTCAGCTCTTAATTTGTTGGGTGTTCAACTAGAATATTGTCAAAAGCAGTGCACGTTAAACTGGAAATATATGTGCAAATTAGTTTGAAATTTCTTCCATCTTTGCTTGAAATGAACCAGAAATCTCAGTTCTTGTTCACTTTCACCAGGTCAGATAGCAAACGGCTTTCAAGCCAGTTTGAAGTTGTGTTCTTCATTCCTTTTGTTCATCTAAAAACCAGACCAACTACTCACCTCTCCCCCCTGGCAAGCTATTCCTTTATATATTGCTAGGAATTAGATGATATAATGCTCCCAAATCACAAAGCTGTCCATGCTATTTTTACCATCTAGCTGCTAGTAGCTGCAGCAGCCCACTGCCACAGTGTACTGTGCTTTAAGGAGGCTGCACGTGATGGGCGTTCCTCATATTGCCAGCATTTCACATGGCTGAGATCAGACTCTACCCACAGACAATCTCTAATGCGGCTAATTTTGTGTTTAAATAGATATTTACGCTATCTTTCACAGTATGGAAAATGAAGGCTTTATTTTCCTTCCAGGCATTGTGACATTATTCCTTTTCAGCTGATTCTGCTTTCTTCCACACCTTCTGTAGCATCCTTGTTACCCTCTGTGCCTGTGCTTTCTCTTGTCTTAGCAATGTCAAGTGGTGTCCCCTGGACTGCCTGCCAGCCACCAAGCTCGCTTGAAGGTGAAGGAATTGAGTAGCTCAGGCTGGACACTGTGATAGTGTGAGACAGTGACTCCTCCAAGCCAACACCACTTGGCTTAGTGATCTTACAGGCTTGTACGGAGTATCGAATGGCTTTATGCACTTTTAATGTCTGAGAGTAACTAAGGTTGTGTTTAAAACATCACTTTCCCTTGTCTCGGGCTTTAGGCTGAGGTTGCAGATCAGCTGGGACTGATGCATTATATGGAAGGTCTGATGCTGCTCACGACTGCCGAGTACGTTGCACCCACATCCGATGAAAACGTCACTGTGACGGACACAGAATTCAACAACGTTGCCGTCCGGCTGTTCCTGCCCAGAAGGACGTCTGATGGGCTGAGAAGGGCAGTGATCTACTTCCATGGGGGAGGATGGTGTGTAGGAAGTGCAGGTGAGCTCTTCTGTCAGTACTGGGGGGCTGCATGGAAGATCTCGATGGGTTAAGTGCTGCCTTTTGTTTTACGGAAGTTGCCATAAAGAGGGTCAGGGAACTAGTTATTTCCCCGGTTAAAACCAGGTGGAGGTTTTGGAAATCACCTGAAAGCTTCTGTAAAGAGGAACATGCTGAGGTATGTGTGTCCATTCTGAAATGTACTGGAGTATATTCTAAGTGACTCGTTTCATTTCAGGCATGAAACCCTATGATCATCTGACAAGGTGGACTTCAAACGTGTTAAATGCTGTCGTGGTATCAGTCAAGTAAGAGAGATTTTCCTTCTGGAAGGGATGAATTTAGAATTAATTAATCTATTTCAATTGTTCTGGTTTTTTGGTCATGTACTTTCCTGCTAGCTTTAAGTATTTGTACACAGAAGCTGTCAAGGTTGCAGTGTGTGAATTGTGGTCGGTGGTTATTTTGGCTGTTGCTTTATGAAGTTGGGTGGGTAATAAAATATTTGATCCTGCAGGATAGACACTTCCCATTTCTCTGGGCTCAGAAAACAATAAACATTCACCAACTAGGGCAGTTGTTAGCAATCCTTTCTCTTTATTAATAGCAGGAACTAACACACTTCTGCTTGCCTCTAACAGTTACAGGTTGGCACCTAAATACCATTTTCCCATTCAATTTGAAGATGTGTATTCAGTAACGAAGTTCTTCCTCCAGAGCAGCGTCCTCTCCCAATATGGGGTAGACCCAGATCGGATCTGTGTTGCAGGAGACAGTGCAGGTGGCAACTTGGCTGCAGCTGTGGCACAACAGGTAAAAAAAAAAAAAAAAGAAAAAGCAATTTTATTTATTTTTTTGTCATTCCACAAACATTTACAAAAGACTAACAAAAGCCTCTGCTCGAAGCAAGTGTCCCTCCCATATGTCCCTCGTGGTCTGTGCACACAGGGTGTCACGCAGCTTGCAGGACTGTCAGTGAGGGCTCGGAGCTTCCAGGCAAGAAAACTTACTTGAGTCATTTAATGGCATCAAAGCAGTTTTGATGTCGTGATGTCCTCCAAACCTTTATAACCACAAAAGTGCTCTCTGTCTATATATGGCCTATATTAGGGCATTTATAACTCTATGTTTAAGCACATTTTGATATGTTGTTTGAAAAAAGGAATTTTAGCAATTTGACTCATAGACTTAAATAGCAAGGAAAAAAAAAAGTGGACTTCAATGTTCCAATGTCATTTCATCACACACAGTTCAGTGTGTGATGAAAATTCTTGCTCAGGTTTATCAAATAAAGTCAGTGCAACGTTGTTGCTCTCTGAAGAAGTTATTTGGGTTGTAATGAATCTCACTTAACGTTGGGAATTTGCCGTGGATGCTGAAGGCGGAAGTCACTTTTTAACTGACTTTTTGTAATAATTTCTTTCTTTCTTGTACAGCTGTTGAAGGACTCTGAAGTTAAAACTAAACTCAAAGCCCAGGCTTTGCTTTACCCTGCTCTTCAAACCCTTGACCTGAATTTGCCAGCTTACCAAGAAAATGAACACAAGCCGATTTTACCCAAGTCGCTTATGGTCAAGTTCTGGAGTGAATATTTCACTTCCGATTCATCTCTCAGGGAAGCGATGGCCTCCAACAGGCACGTCCCGGTTGAATCCAGCCACTTATTTCAGTTTGTAAACTGGAGCAATTTGTTGCCTGAAGAGCTGAAGAAGGATCATGTTTACACCAGTCCCACCTACGGAAGTTCCGAGCTTGCTCAGAAGTACCCGGGGTTTCTGGATACCAGGGCTGCCCCGCTGCTGGCGAGAGATGCCCAGCTCCGTGGGCTGCCCCTCGCCTACGTCCTCACCTGCGAGCACGATGTCTTACGGGATGATGGAGTCATGTACGCCGAGCGCCTCCGGGCAGCAGGCGTTCCTGTCACACATGATCATGCCAAGGATGCCTTTCACGGGGCGATGATGTTTGTCTTGAGTCCAGCCGAGTTAGCTGTAGGGCACCGGCTGCTGAACAGATATATTGAGTGGTTAAATGAGAATCTATGAGTTGAAAATGTCGGTCTAGTATGGCTGGCTTGTGTCCCCTGGGTGCTATTGAGGAGCATAAGAGGAGCTATGTGAGTTTTTGGGTGTGATTGCCGTCTTCCTTGTGTTGCCCTGCAGTGTCTGGATTGCAGCGTTTCTCATCTTCTCTGGCAGGAACAGCGGTCTGATTCTAATCTAAGTGTTCTTTCAGTGCTGTTGTCTGAGCTCAGAACCCCATAAACCATCAGGGCTGCCCTGGGATTTCTCTCCTGGCCAAAACCAGAAGAGTCGATGTGCCTGACCCTGCCCTCACACTGCCTGGGCTTGTGGGCCTATGGGACTTGATGTCTCATGCTGGTTGCTTCTTGTTTCTTCATATTGCAATGTCTTCATATAGCAGGCTTGTGCAAATGAGCAAGATCACTATTTGCACACAGGAGGTGCTTGGTGGCAGCTTGTTCCCTGTCCCCTTTGGTGTGCTCCCTTATCCTTTGGGACACGCTGGTGAGGCCCCGCTGGGTGACGGGGTGAGTGGAGGTGCAGGGACATAACTTCATGAAGTCCACAGCAGCTTGTGAAACCCTGCCCATCACATGTGGCTGCTGGGCTTGTGCTTTTTTTTCTCTCCAGCACAGCTCAAGGGTAACACTTGGAAACCAAACGGGATGGCTGTAACAGTGCAAATGTTCAGGTTTTTTGGTTTTGTTTGGGTTTGGTTTTTTTTAAAGCATCTCTCTTCTCAGTAATAGCTTTCTTTAGTAGCTGTACTAGAAAGAAATAGCGTAACAAAATGGCACTGAATATTCTTAAGATAAAGGAAGGCTATGAAGGTCCCAGCCTTACAATAGCACTGCTGTATGTTTTATGTTTTATGTTCCACTTACCAAATAAGTGTTATAATGATCCTTAAAATTGTTTGGCCTATTTTACATATGAATTTTTAGAAAGAAAATTGTTATTATTGTGAGGCACAAAATGAGACCGTGAAAATTGCAACATCAGCGTCTCCAGCAGGAGAGGCTAAAGCCACAGTAAGCAACATCTTTATCCAGAGCAGTAAACAGTAAAAACCACCCCAAGGGAAGGCTTTGTTCACTCTCCCAATAGAGATGGAAATGAAATTTGGTGTTTGATAGTAAACAAAACACAACTTGGCAAATAGTTTTGGTCTTCCAGTATTTTTGAAACTGTTGATTAAGTTGTTCCCTGTTAGCAAACTCAGTTTAAGGCTCTATTACATTGGTGCTGCTTAGTGTATTCATTATTTTCATTAACCTGTTTTCAGCTGGGATAGAATTAATTTTCCTCCTAGTAGCTGCTATGTTTTGCATTTAGTATGAGAATAACATTGATAACACATATTGTTTCAGTTGTTGCTGAGTAATGCTTATATTAATTCAAGGACTTTTTCAGCTTCCCATAGAAGCTGGAAGGGAGCATAACCAGGACAAACTGGCCAAAGGAATATTCCATACCATAGATGTCATGCTCAGTGTATAAATGGGGGTTGGCCAGGGAGTGGGGATCTGTGATCACTGTTGGGGGCAGGCTGGGCAACTGATCATTGGGTGGGGAGAAGATTAATTGTATTGCATCTCTTTGTTTTATCTATTCTTATACCATTGTTATTGTTATTATTTCTTCTGTTCTATTAAACTGTCTTTATCTCAACCCACAAGGTTTTTTTTTCCTCCTTTTTCTCCCTCTTCTCCCTACCCTACTGGAGTGGGAGGCATGGTCCTAGTTGGTGGTTGGAGTTAAACCATGACAACACTTCACACAAGTGGTTCCAAAGGCTCCTGTTAAGGTTTAACCCATAAAGCTGTGCTATTTTGTTTCTTCACACTGAGGTTGGCCTGGAGCCCCAGACTGAACACTCCTACCAGAGGACAGCACATCTCAAACCTGCAAGGAGAACCTAGAGCTGTCTCCTGGTATTGCTTATCTGACACCAGTATAGGACACTCAACTGTTGGCAACAACAAAAACTGCAGAGAGACCTTTTAATTCAGGTATTCCTTCTTGATAAACGTCCTGGAATACAATGTAATTACAGATGGTAGATCATGTGACTGAGAGAGCTTTGCTTAAGTATTCCAGGTTTAGAAAACTGTGTTTAGAAGCAAAATGGATCTTTGCAATATTCGTAGAGGTGTTAAACTGTGACAAAAATCTAAAACCACTGAAATTACATTAAGACTATTTTAACTATAATAATTATAAGACATTTTTTAAATGTCTTTTTCATTGAAATATTTGTGCCTTGCTGTACGTTGTTTTGTGTTAGGTGAGGTTTGTGACCTGCCCTCCTTCCCTGCCTCTGCTGCAGCTTCAGTGTCCCCCTTAAGCCCTGCAGGGACCACCCTGCCCTGGCCCTTGGCCCCTTGGTGCTATGCAAGGAGGAGAGACCTTCCTGTCCCCAGGGTAGGGGGGCAGGCAGGGTCTGGGTGTCAGGGGAGGGGTGCAGGGGTCCCAGCCATCGCTTGGCTCTCCCAGCAGCACCCTGGCCTGGCATCTGGATGGGGTCCCACCACTGGCAAAGCTAAAAGAAAACCCCAACAAAATCAAAAAAGTTCTGTTAGACCTTTCAGCTTCAGCTGTTGGGTGTGGTTTATACAAATCCACTAATAGTGAACACGCTGAGCTGGAATTAGTTATTAATTACCTGTGAAGAGTGCACAACTGTGCTGGGCTATTGTTTCTGCAGACAGTGGTGCTCAGCCCTGCCCCATGAACTCACCTGTACCTGCTGGCTTGAGTAGCCAAACACCAGCAGTGGCAAAGGCAGGGGTGTTTTTTGGAGGTTTACATCTTTATTACTCTATAGCCAGTTCTTTGAAGCTTTACTGCAGCGTGGAAATATAAACGCTCCATTTATTCATCCCCCTTTTATCCTTCAGTGCAACAGCAGTTGCCTGAATTAATGTAACATTTAAAAGCAGGTAAATGAGAAGCCAGTATTATTTATCAGCCATGTGGGAAATATTAAATCAGCTTATGGAGGCTTAAATATTAGCTATTTATTTGTTTTATCTTCAGAGAAAAGCCAGAATACCTTTTTATATCCCAGATATTAATAGGGTTAATATTTGCTATTCTTAAAGTAGATCACAATGAAGGGAAGGGGAGGGGGGGAACTGTATTTTTACTATCTGAACTGTGTTTATTTCTCCTATTTTAAAACAATCATGGTGATATTCAGACATTTTCACTGATGTGTATCATGATTTTGCATTTGACTTGTCTTCTGTACTGGGCTTATTCACCAAGCCTCAATTACACTTGGCTGCCATTTGTATTTTATGAAAGAAATGCATTTATAAGAGCACAGTACATATTTTATGTGTATTGATTTGTATAAAAAAAAAAAAATATATAAAATACATGTTGGACTATAGAGAAACTCCAAAGGTCTCTGCACGCAGAAGGAGCCCCAGAACACATCAATCCAGAGGGCTTGGGATGACAGAGCCCCAGGTGGGTCTCCTCCGTCTCCCCCCTGACTGGCTGTAGGGCTGAGCTGGTCTTCTGGGAGGAGGAGGAGGAAGGCTCCAGGGTGAAGTCTGTATGCAGAGCTGAGAGTAGCAAAGGCTCCTTTCTCCTCTTCCTTGGAGGTGGAGGTTAAAAAAAAGTGTTTTATATCTTTGAGAGAGCAAAAGAAATCTGTGCGTTGGACTTCTTGAAACATATATTATTAATGAAGATCTATTCCTCCCAGGAAAAAAATAATTATTTGAATAATGGAAGCAATTTCATGTCTTTCCTCATTTTCAGGCCCTGCGTATAATTAGTGAAAGTCCAAATAACAGATGGCAAAGTGCTACGGGGAGCAATTGTCTACAAGATGTGTATTATGGAGGTATTTTATGCAAATTGCACCCTGCATACAGCCATTACACTGCAGGCTTGCTCAGATGCTGCTGTCATAAAAGCAGAATTGCGGGGAAAAGTTACACAAGTGGGAGTGGGTTGGTTTGGGGTTTATCTGCTCTGTACGCGTGCTGCTTGTTTGCACACACTGATTCATAAAGGCCAGGTCTCTCGCCCAGCAGTGTGGTACTGTTGAGCTGGGTGGCTAAAGGTGTTGTCCCAAACAGCTCGCTGGCACAATGGAAAAAAAATATAACTGGTTTACAGGAGTGGCTGCAGAAGGTTTCTGTAACTTGGGGTTTTGGTTGATTGTTCAGCTCTGAAATATACTGCACTATGGAGAAGAGTCACAAAGTTTGGGCAGATGCTGTGTGGGAAGCACCGCCTCGCTGGGGGGAGCTGCCCCTGGGTAAAGGCAGCGAGTGTGGTGGTAGGAGCTGCCCGCAGCAGGGCAGGCTGGCTCTCCTGCTGTAATGTCCAGATTTATTTCGTTTTGAGCATTCAACGCCTTAAGATAGCCTTTTTTCTTTTCGTTTCTTTTTTCTTCCCCCTATAGGAAAACCTTAACACTGCCGGAGGCGGGCAGCAGGGGACATGTCCAGCTCGGGCTGTGGGTTTGGCACCCCATCTGTGTTGGGGGAGAGCCCTGCCAGCCTAGGGCTGCCCCATGGCAGGAATCGGCTGGGGGTGCAGCCGTCCTCGCTGGAGACCCTTGAGGGGTATGGCAAATGTTCCCCGTGCTGTGCTGGAAGTGTCCCCTGCCCTGACCACACCTGGTTCCACTTGATTTTTCCTCACTGGATTCAGATGTCATCATTCCAAGAAATCTGGCATTTGTGGTAAAGTACATTTGAGCCGAACAAAATTGGTTTTGAATCATGTTAATAAGCCAGCTCTGCCTGGGAAGCATTTGTGTTGCCACTTTCCTTCAGTGGGGAGTGCCTGTGTTAGAGCTGGAGGTTTCACAGCTGAACCAGGGGAAGTGTCAAAGTTTGGGAACTTTATCTTACACTGGTTCAGCAGGAGGAGCCAAGCCAGGAAAGTTTCACCCCAAACTCTGGGGCAGCTGTAGGCTTTTGTGGGTCTGGCCAAACCTGCAGGTGGTAGCAGAGTAGAGGGTGGTAGCACCACTACCAAAAAAGTCATGTGCACAGCTGTGGGTGACAGCTCCTCGTGCTTGGAGGGGTCACAGCCCCTTGGTGCTCGCTCGTCCCCCAGCTCCCTGTCCCTGGGGATCCACTGAGTGGGTGGCTTTACCATGGGGTACCAGCAAGGCTTGGGCTGGAGCTGAGGTCCTGGTGCCATGTGCCTGCAGGAGGAACAGTGACAAAGGGCAAAGTGAGATTGTTGGAGCCTGGGCTGCATTTAGTATCTGAAATATCATGAGCATCCTACACCCATCCCCTAATTATCCCAGCCAGCTGGGATGGGAGCTGTGTGCCCCCTTCCTAATAGAGAACTAAAGGCAGGGCAAGCACAGAAGGGCTTGGATGCCTTTTTCTGGCAGAGATGGCAAACAAGCATTTGAGTCCAAATATGGTGACTTTGGTATGGGGACTGAAGCAAAGGAGAAATGGGTTGCACTTATTCTAGAGCACAGGGAAACCAGGTACTGCAGGGCTAATATAAACAAGCCACAGATAAACAAAAGTAAACATTTAATTCTATCCCTTCTTTGCACCAAGGGCAGACACAGCATTAGATTCTTACATTTGGAGTAACTGGCTGTACAGACTCTGCCCAATGTCGTCTGAGCACACTGCTGTTGTCATTGCAAAGTTCTCTTCTTCTAGCTCATGGTGGCCAGGGAAAGGTATTAATAATTTATAACCTAAAAGAATATTCCCATATTCCATTTTGCTGATAGGGATGAATCCTGAGTGGGGATAAACATCCCCTGTTTAAAGGGCTCTGCAGGAGGGGCACCAGATGTCACTCAAGGTCAACCTTAATGACTCATTCCAATCAGTCAAATCCAAATACATCATAATAAAACATTAAATATGCATGACTCAGTTAATTGGCCTCAGTCTAATATAAATTGGCTAATGGGTATTTAATGATAACAAACGTGCCTGACTCCAGTTGCATTTCTTCTTTAAAGCCCGCAGGCTGCTGAAGAGCCCAATGAATTTAATAGCACAGTGATCTGTTACAGCCAGAACCCACCCTTGTCTCCTCATCTAAATGCCTAATTGCCTGGGAGTCAAAGGGTTAAATCTGGGCAGCACCATTTCAACAGCTTCCCTGAGAAACACTACAGACATAAAACAATGTGTAAAGTCCTGTAAATGGTAGGGGCATGTAATCGTGCTTGCTTTTTGGATGGACGGTGGTTGTGTTGTGTTGTCTCTCGGTGGAAAGGTTTGTACTGACAACATTCCTTCAAAGACAGGTTGATTGTAATGAAGGAGCGTGTTATTGGGGTGCTGTAGGAATGAGGGTTCTGGGATGAATTTCCCTCCTCCCAAGTCACTATGGACATGTCCCCAGGAGCAGCAGATAGATAGTGCACAGTGGCCAAGGCCACCTCCTGCTGCTCTCGGTGCTGCTGACGCGCTGCTGGGGGCTTCCCATGGGATGCTGTGGCTTGCATGTGGGCAGAATCCTGCCAAGCTTTTAATGCATCTTGGGAACGCTTGTGCTTTTTACGTGTGTCCCCACCCCAGAATTGTCTGTGTCCTCCCTTCTGGCCCCAAATCTGTTCTGGAAGATTAGACTTGTATAAGCAAATGTAAGTGCCTGAGTACTGACTTTGCAATTTGAATTAACTTCTTCTTTCAACATAGCTATATGTGAGATACCTTGTATTCCTCCAGACACCCTTTAAGCCCCTCTGGGTGACATAAGGTACAATTAGTAGATCTGGAGAGCACTGAGTTGTCTGAGTCAGCCCATGGGCTGCAGCGTAGCTCTGCGAGCTGCTGCCAGGCAGAACAACATCTTTCACAAGCACAATTTGTTTTGAAAAATAAATCCCTCTGCCTTTGAGGGGAAGAGTGGAAAAACATACCAGCTGCCTGAGCGTTTAGAGGTTTGTGACTTTTGTCAACACTGTGTAATTAAAGTTTCCTTATTACCCCTGCTGGAAACCTTATCAGGCAAACACAGGTGTCTTCAGGTGCCCTGAAAAGACCCAACACCAGCACAGACACCTGGTACTCTGGCCACATGACATTTCTTACTGTAGACGCTGGTTTTACTGGGTGTTTTGACTAGTTTCCTGTCCGGATTTCTGCAGTCATTGATGATATATAGAAGTTGGTGGTGTGCCCTGTATTTGTGCCAGATTTTGTTTATTAAAAAAATATAAAATGGCACCCTGTGCTTGTAGCTGCCGTCCTGACCCAGAGTGCGGCTGGAGATGCTGCCCCTGGGCTGGGTGTTCTGCAGGCAGAGGAACAGACTGAGCACTGGCCAGGGACCCGGGCACCCTCCCTGCCTGCCTCAGCCATTGCAAACTGCCATGTTTTCACTACTTCAGCCCCAAAAGCTTTGCTCAGAAATGCTCTCCACGGCATTGACCACCTGGAGAAGGCTTGATCCCAGGCCAGTTGAGATGAAACCATGTGGTGCTACTTGCCAGTCAGGAGCAGGGATGAGCCTGGGAACACCACAACCCCGAGCCCAAGCCATCCACCCGAGACCTGGAGATGCTTTGTGGCTGTCCCTCAGCCCAATGTAATGTCCCTTTCTCCTGGGCATGACCTTCCGCAGCTCAGGGACTGTCCCGGCTGGAGCACGGCACAGCATCGCTGTCACCCGCTGCCACCTGGGCTTCTGCCACTTCTGCTGCTGCCTCTGGGGCTCCTCTCCTGCCTGAGGAAGCCTTGCCCTCAGGTACACAAGCTGTACAAAGGGCTAACCCAGCAGAGGACAGCTTTTTTTAGATATACTTGAAGCACTGAGCTTTGCTCTGGTTTGTTTGTCCCGTGGGAGGGGGACAAAGAGCTCGGTGGTGCAAGGACATACGGTGCTGTTGGGAGCCACTTGCCCGGCTCGTGGCAGCGCGGGTACAGCCCATGGTTTCCAGATGTAGCAAGAGATCTCCGTGCTGCATGAACGTCCTGGTTGGGCTGGGATCAGTGGAAGCACTTAGGTGTTGGTGTACCTGTGTGCTTTGTGAACGCACGGCCATCTGCTGGGGTGCAGCCCTGGCCATGGGGTGTCTGCCCGCGATGCCGAGTGAGCTGCCACTGGTGGGTGAGTAAAGCTGTCCTGGCTTCTTTACTCAAGGGACAATTAATAAGCCCCCCCCAAATATTTGGGTGGGTTATTTCTCCTGCTAAGAAGGTGCAGGGACTGTAAGTTCAGCCCTGCAGCCTGCATCCAGAGTGAATTGTTTTTTCTGTAGCAGGCTGGAAAGAGCTCTGCTGCTTACATGAGCCAGGAAAGAGACCCTGATCCTGTTGTCTTCAGGCATTGATGTACATTGACAGGTCACACGGCAGCTGCTTTTTTGGATTGAAATCTCACTTAGGTTATGCTATGCACAGCAGTAAAAGTTAAATGGAAGGATATGAAAGCTCACATTGCACAGTGCAGGATTTTCTAAAAATTGCTCCTGGATGCAAACCTGCCCTCTAGCAGTGGAAATCCCAGACCGGGACATTTCCCGTGTGTCAGCCACTGGGCCACCCAGTCCCAAAACACTTATTTAGCCCAAAACGCTGCTGGGCTTGTGCCCCTGCTCCTTTTTATGCAAGAAAACCACAGCACCCTCGCTGCCTTGTGCAACCATCAGCATTTTCAGCCAGGACACCCAGGCTGAGCTCAAGACATTGAAATTTAATCATTTAGGGAGGGCCCTGGGTCTTCTTCAGGGTGGATGACAATCCAAACTGCATACAAAAATGCCACTCTATTGTTTGAATCAAAGAAACAATTTTCACGTTGCTATAAACAGGTCCAGGTGTATTAGTGGCAGTGGAGCAGGGTCATTTTGCATTAGCAGCATTTAGTCTCAAAATAATCATAATGTTACATAGCGCTGACGAATAAACCTCCAAGCTTTGAAGCGTTAAAATGCGTTACCATACGAAAATTAAGTGCTCTTCCGTAGTGCTCTGCTTTCGTATAATTAAAAGACATTGTTTTATTTGTTTTGCTAACTATAGAATGTCACCAGGCTGCTGCCACATCTGTTGTATTGACCCCGGAGTGTCAGGGGAGAGACTATTCTGTGATTGAAGAAGACTGGACATCAGGAGGAAACCAGCCACCGGCTTTGCCCTCCTGATGCCTCTGGGGATCTCTCCAAAGGTGGGATGAAGAGCAGTGCCCTCAGCCCCCCTGAGGGAGAGCTGGGCACCCCCAACTGCCAACCCATGGCTCGCTGGGAGTGAGATCTGCATGTCACCCCAACAGGAGTGTTTTCGGGGAAACCCTGTCTCCGAGCCTCATATCAGGAAGGCTGCACGTCACGGAACAGAGCCTGGCTACCCCGGCGGTTTCCACACAAGTCTCTGGCAAGGGGAAGTGTTTGTTTACTTCTCTGCTTGGCTCAGCACACATTTAGCAGAGCCTTCCTCCCACAAAAACTGTCCCCGTGTCCTGCTCAGCCAAACAAATCGCGCCTTTGCCTTGACTCATTAATGATTGAATCGTATGCAAACTCGGTCGAGAGGTGACGTTGCGCGGCGCACCAGGGATCCCATCGTTCTCACCAAGGCATGGTCCAGGAGTGCCGGGGGAGAGGCAGCTCCAGCCCTGGGGATGGTAAGGTGTCCTTGTGCCCCAAGAGCTGGCTGCCAGCCCGCCTTTCTCGAGGAGACTCTGCTGTTCCTCTGCCGAGACCATTTCTGAGTGAATCCTTTCATTGTGTTACTTACCTTAAAATTGATTAGTCGGTCTTTTTCTAATGACTACCTTAATCAATGTGTCTGTCGATACAGTAATGTTTTAACTATTATTTGTATTTAAAGTGATGATGTTAGTGAGGTTTTAATTCTAGAAAAAGCTGCACTAAACTGCTGAGTTTCTTCTCAAGAGCCTGAACAGCTGAGGTTATCTGGGTGCTGCACGTGAGGGTATTCTGACCAGAGCGAGCCTGGATAATTTTGTTTGTTTGTTACAGTATAAGTGTAGATATTTGTTGGATGTAGTATGAAGTTTTGTATCTGCTGCACTTTATTCTGCCTCATGATGCAGTCTTGAGTAATGTGCTCTAGGAAATCCTGCTTTAGCAGGGGAGTTGGACTAGATGGTTTCTAGAGGTCCCTTCCAACTCTGACAATTCCGTGATTCCGTGATGATCAACTTCTAAAAGAAAATACAATGCTTTGAGAACAGAGACCTATTAAGAAATTCTAGACAGCAGAACAACTTTGGAAATGCTGAAAATAATTATAAGATTTGTGGAGACTGTCTTTAGCAGATTCTTGTGTCGGTCACATTGCTGCTCGAGCTTGGACTTAGCTTGATTTCAGTTTTAATCTATATCCCATTTTTCTAACATTTTGTTTTCCTCTGCTTTCTAATTGTTTTGCTAATATTTTAACCAGAGGCTCTCACTAAAAGCTTTCTTTAGCTTGTAGCTCTGCTGCAGGTGGGTATGGGTGTGTTTGCCTGTGGAAGGAGAGGAGTGAGCACTCGAGATCCTACTCTATTTCTTCCCCTGTAGCATGAAAGAAGTTTTTTTTAATTAACGTCTAGAAAGAAAGCGACATTTGTCCTCAGGCGAACTCACACTTGGTGCAGCTTCCTAGAAAGCTTTCCTCCTTAAAGAATACCAGTCGTGCTACTTACTTCCCAGCCGAAATCAGAAGCTCTTTGTTTGGAGCCAAAGAGAAAATTAAATAGCAGTGCAGGAGGGGTGGCAGCGGCGCTGGCAGCTCTCCCAGCGGAGAATGGCCACGCGTTGTCCCGGCGGCGAACGAGCTCTCCTCTTCCTGCTGCTCCGTGGGGCTGGGCTCGGGGCACATCAAGGCAAAAGCTGGTGAACAGAGTCCTAGAAAAGTATTATCTTTCCCACCATGCCTGGGGTGGGGGCTTAGCAGAAGTTATGAGCTGTGACTGAATAAATCACATGCCATGTTCTCACTTCATAGGAAGTTAATAATAAAAGTGCCTCAAAGTTTGTAAATTTGGCTTCAAGGGCATTTTATCCTGAACTCGACTGTGCTGTCCCCTTGACTACAGCCTCTTTTGTATCAACAAGGACTCATCAATTGTAGCTGAAGCTCCCTTTCTTGAATGGGCTTTTTGTAGAAAACTGAGAAGATACTTGTAAAACCCCAGGAGCAGAAATGCCCTGTGCCTGCTGGAATGGCTCGGAAGTGCTCCGGCACATCCGCCGTGACGCACAGATATGTGCTTTATCCTCACTCTCAGCACTTTCTGTGCAATTCTGGTACTGAGTTACCAGCAAAACTGTACCAAGTGCACAACGAATGCTTCAATTAATTTAATGATCACATTCTCTCCTGACCTTTTAATGAATTCCAAGCAATGCTGTCAGAACGTGGCCGTATTGCTGCTAATGAGTTCATGCTTTATCAGTCTTGACAGCAACCTTCTGCTTTAGTGATGAGTGAGGAGACCACGGGACCGGCGTTGGGTAACAGGGTGGCAGATGACTTCCAGCAAGGGCTGTGATAAAGCACTAAGATGCTGTTTGCGCTTTCCCAGCCTCTGGTTGTGCCATGGGTTTGGCCAAGCAGCAGCAGGTACGTTATGGCAGATGCTTTCAGGTGATGCTCTTGCTTTAGACCCCTTACACAGGTTTCTGATCACACGAGTTTTCATCTTGCTCAGCAACTCCAACTAATAGCTGAAAGTAGAAATCTTGTGTGTGTATAGGGGATATTCTTGGAGTTCAAGACTCTACTTACCACATAAGTTGTAAGGAAATTGCATGCTATATTCAACTATTACAGCAACTATATAAAAGTAGCCACGTCATGATCTTTTACTAATTTTTGCTGTTTATTTCTTTTCCTTTTGACTTTCCAGGATGCAAACGAGACAGATGGCTGTTTGCTGGTGACCAGAGTCCTAGAAAAGTATTACCTTTCCACCATGTACAGCCTTGTGTTCATTTTCGGCTTCATTGGAAATGCCATTGCTGTGTTCGTCTATATTTTCTGCCTGAAAAACTGGAAAAGTGGCAACATCTACCTGTTCAATTTATCACTATCAGATTTATTATTTCTATGTACTCTTCCAATACTTGTGAACAGCTACTCCAGAGATCAATGGGCAAAAGAGAGTGTCTTGTGCCATAGCAACAGATTCCTGTTGCATGCAAACCTGTACAGCAGCATCCTTTTCCTCACTGCTATCAGTATTGACCGATACATGCTCATAAAATATCCTTTCAGAGAACACCTCCTACAGAAGAAGAAGGCTGCCATTATCATCTCTGTGGCCATATGGATCGGGGTGATACTGGAACTGCTGCCCTTGGTGTATTTTCTGGAGCCTATAGCGCCTGCCAATAATTACACGTGTCTTGATTATGCAAGCTCTGGAGATGCTGTGCAAAACCTCATCTATAGCATGTTTTTGACTGTCTTTGGGTTCCTTATCCCTCTTGTGATCATGTGCTGCTTCTATGTGAAAATGGTTCTTTTTCTTAAAAACAGGAACGGGCAAATCAGTTCTCTCCTGGCACTCGAAAAACCCCTTACTTTAGTCATCCTCACAGTGGTTATCTTCTCATTGCTCTTTACTCCCTATCACATCATGCGCAATGTCCGACTTGCTTCACGAATTCCAGCCTTGAATTTATCTGTGTGCACGAAGGGCGTCATCAACAACATTTACATCATCACGAGACCCATTGCGTTTTTGAATAGCGCCATTAATCCTGTGTTTTATTTCTTGATGGGTGACCACTTCAGAGAGATGCTGATGGCAAAACTAAGGCAGCTCTTGAGCAGGTTGACAACCACTGACGAATGAATAAGGAGGCCTCGCAAAGTGGGCCATGAGGGAGGAAACTCCCTTAGGGAGAGCGTTCACCGCTGTACATGCCTTTTCTTGAGATAACTTTATTTATGCTATAGAATATGCGTGAGCTGAATGTGTTCCTCTAAATGTGCTTGTTATCTTATTGCACAGGAGACATCCTCCTGCTAATCTGACTGCAGCAAACCAGAAGTGATGTTCTCTCACAACAGTCCAGCAGGAAACTGTGCTCTCATAGCAGCACACGCTATGGCCAATTCATATTTTAAAGAAAGGATCATCACGGTAGTTCTTAGAGGAAATATACTGCTCCTCGACAGCTGCTCTGTGAGCCATAACTTGATGCTGGGCTGGACCTAAGCTTGGATAAGCTGTGCCAGGGGCACTAATTCACATTCTCAACAGAGTCCGGGGATCAAGGTTGAGTCGTCTTTATATAAGTGTTCGCAAACCCTGCATCTCCTGGGAGGTTCACCTTTCAGAATAAATAACTGGGACAATTTCCATTTCCAGCTGATTTGGTGAGGGCTGGCATCCTGGATGTGGCCAAAAAGGAGGGTATGCAAAGGGCTGGGTGGAACACTGTCGGCGTCACAGGAGCGGGGCAGGGGCAAGGTTCCTGTTTTGTTTGTGATGAGTGTGAGGAGAGCAGAATGCTGTAACGTCTGGCTCCTGGTCTTACAAGCATTTCATGTAAGACCATGAATGAGACAGCAAGGACATGTGGGTGTGCGGTCAGGTTCTTTCACTCTTTGACACTGAAGTAAAAAGAAAAAATATGTCATTTTAGTTCTTAACTGAGATTTGCTTTTGTACATCACTGGGGCAGCTATGCAAGCTCATACTGCCATTTTCGCAGCCACTTTTCAAACTATAGATTTCCTTAACTTGTCTATAAGAGAGAGCAGAATGTATAGCTTGAAGCAGAATTTGGACCTCACAGTTCAAACTTCATTAATAGTTCTGATAATGAAATGGGAGCTAACGAGGAGCCAGTGCCCTGCAGAGTCATTGCAGCAGCGGAGCTTACTCTCCAATGAACTGACCTGACTTGGAGTGTAAAGGGCAAAGAGATCCATGAAGTAACAAGCTGGTCTGAGCTTGGGCAGGGGAAGGACGTGGCAGAGTGGCGAGTACTGGGCAGCATCACAGCCAGGATGTGGGCAGCCCCCTCTGCCTGTGCTCGGCGGGTGATGGAGGAGCTCCGGGAAGAGCGAAAGGCCGGAGCTGCCTGTGGACTCGGTGGCCCCAAGGCATTGAGAAAGGACCTTTCTCATCAGAGACAACTTTAGTTCTGCTTTCTGATGTGATGGTCTTCTGCAATACACTTAACTGCCTTCCTGATAATAAACTGTGCATCCTGTTTAAAAAAAAACCAACATGCCTCCTTTGTGTTGAGTGTTTTGTTTTATATGCTATTCTCTTGAATGTCCATGAAGCCCCACTATCTGCCTTTTTCTTGTTAACCGTAAGACCCTAAAAGTTTGTGAACAAAAGTACCTGTTTGATTCAATATGAGGGACAAAATAACTGCTTCCCTCTGCAAGTATCTCACACAAATACCCATGCCAGCGTCCCACTGGAGCGAGCATGACATGTGCTGGGTGCTAAGGCCAGAACCCTCGGGGCACTTATGGAGATCCCCATGAGCTTGGGGTGATGCTGATGATGATCCCGGTGATGCTGCAGGAGGGATTTGGCTGTCACTTCACATGAGTGTCTCCTGCACCTCTCCCTGAGAAGTTTGCCATGGGAGGGCTGGTCCCGAGCCCCCCAGCACTGCTGCTGGCTAACGCTGCTGTTCCGTGAGTGGGTCCTGTGCTGGAACAGAGAGGAGGGTGTCCAGGGACAGTAACCAAAGTTTTGACTGGAGAGAAATGTGCATAAAGCCTTATTTTCTTCCATCCGTTTGCTTTGTAACAAATCTTTACACATAAATCGCTAAATCACTCGTTCAGTGATGAAAAAAAGATCCATCATGTGTGTTATGGAGGCACAGGCTGGGACAGATAAGGTTTCCGTTATAAATACCTCCTGTTTTTGTAAGGACCATTGAACATAGCACCAAGAGGCAATTACTCAGCTGGGTGTGACATTGTACATGTTCATCCCAACACAGAGGAAGCCAAGAGCAGAATTTCCAAAAGCGAGTTGAATAATCCTTTTTTAAAGTTGGAGTCCAGTGCACTGAAGAGGAATTTTCTTCCAAGGAAAGTACCACACAGCAATAAATATTAAGTTGAAGCACCTTTAGTAGACTCACTTTTGCCTTTTGCAGTGAGGGAAGAACAGGATTTTCCAAAGAATTGTTTATTTCCTAAACCTGTAGCTATCTGGGACTTTTCTGTATCAGCTCAGTGGCCTCTTTTTCCTGTGAATAGGCTTATGTGGGGCACAGGAGGAGTTTGTGGGTTTGGGTTTTTTTAAATATGTACATAATCCACTAGCAGAAGTGGAAAGGCCATTTACACTCCACCTGGACGTGGTGTTTGTATTTAAATTTATTTCTGCATTAGAGATTTGTGGTTGTCAGCTCCTGCACCTGACTATCTATATTTGCTTTCACTGCTGCCATCCGTCCATCCATCTTATGCTCAAGAGAGAATGTGAAAAGAGACGTTTTGCATATTCAACACAAACCAACTTTCTGTTTAGCCTGATTTCTTATGTGTGTCTCACGTAGGAATCTGCCAAACCAAAAGCAATGCCTGTTGCTCCACAACCCAGTTCCATTGCACCTTCTGTTCACCTGTTCACCTATCCCAGTTATTAATAGAATCACAGAATGGTTTGGGTTGGAAGGGACCTTAAAGATCATCTAGTTCCAACCCCCCTGCCATGGGCAGGCACACGCCCTCCTAGAGCAGGTTGCTCAAAGCCCCATCCAGCCTGGCCTTGAACACTTCCAGGGATGGGGCATCCACAGCTTCTCTGGGAAACCTGTTCTAGTGCTTCACCCCTCTCACAGTCAAGAATTTCTTCTTGATACCTAATCTAAACCTACCCCCTTCCAGTTTGAAGCCATTAGGCTCACTGTAGTTCCTGGTGCCCCAACCTTGACTCATCAAAGGCAATACCTGTCACCAGCAGTTTGCCACATGCCCTTCCTTCTCAATAGTAGTGTTTTTCTTCTGGTGATTGCCATCATCTTCACGAGGCAGGGAAACGTCTTTCTTCACCTTTTGATGTCAGGACAACGTCATGGGCAGTTTTGTGATACCAGCCACCCCTTTTTTCCCCCACATGACGGCCCTATGTGCTGGGAGATGAGGTGGCACCAACCCCAAGTTGTGCAAGCGCCAGTTGGGCATCCACATCTCGGCTGCGAATGGGGAAGCAAAGAAAGGGACTGCCAGGCGGTCTCTCAGGTCTGGTGTTGAAGGCAGGGCTGGAAGGAAGGAGAGGGCAGAAGAGACATAAACTTCTGCCCTTGAGCCATTTTCCAGAAAATACCTTGCGCAATGCTCAGCTCAGGTCGTGTTGCCAGCCCAGCCTTCCCCACCAGCAGTGTGTGCTGAAGGGCAGATGAAGATGGGCAGCTTCCCTGGGAGTGTCCGCATTTGTAATTTGAAAGGATCTATTTAATTAGGCCTGTATGAATCTGAAATGGTAAGGCACAGCCTACCTTTAATGATATTAGAAAACGTATGTCTGCCCCCTCAGAGAGCACCCAGGATGACAAGGCTTTTTGGAGAGCACAGCTGACACTGCATGAAGCTCATCCCAGCTCGTTCCTGCCCGTGGGTGGGCACAGGGTGTTCCGAGGCAGGTGTGGGAATGGGGTGTTCTGAGGTAGGCATGTCCCACAGGCTAAGGCACGAGGACATGGTCCTGTCACAGCATGATGAAAGCAAGGTCTGTTTTTCCCATCAGCACACTGCTGTTTCTGCCAGGGATGCAGTGCTGAGCTTATCCTATCAATCAGGGAGAAACGTATGGTTTTGCCTTTGGGTTTTTTAGCATAGAAAAGTCTTGCAGAAGCTCAAGTTGCTTTGATGCATGGAAGATCTGGTTTAAGATGTTCTCCTCAAGTGTTGGTAGAGAAGGCGCCAGATAAGATTCAGGTGTCACTGCCCTGGTCATTGCGAGGTCTGGCCAGGCTGGGACAAGGCCAGTCCAAGCCCCATGACAGCATTGGAGTTGTGGCCATTGGAGTTGTGGCCATACCAGATGCCACTACCCTATCGCCACCAGAGACGCACATGGCATCCCATGTCCGGGTGATCAATGGCCAGGAGGTGATTTTTCTTCGTAAACAGTGTATAGTGACAGTTCTTACGAATTAATATGTTAAATTATTTGTTTTGCTGTGTCCATTGAAGTGAGCAGGATCATCTCCTCCTTTTTAAGTGGATTGAGTCACTAAGGATACCTCCTTGTGTACACACCGGTGTTGCATTTACCCACACAGCTATTCCCTGTTGGCTTGGTACCTGGCAACTAATCATCTCTAAATATATGCTCTTTCTGTGAATCATGGAATCATAGGATGGTTCGGGTTGGAAGGGACCTTAAATATCATTGAGTTCCAACCCCCCTGCCATGGGCAGGGACACCTCCTCCTAGACCAGAGTACTCAAAGCCCCATCCAACCTGCAGATGCTGTACGCCAGCAGTTGGACTTATGGGCCACCTAAGATGCAGGAAGAGGAAATTAGATTTTATTGATCATTTATTCTAAGACCAGCTGTTGTTTAATTCCAGGAAATATTTTCTATTTAATAATATAAAAGTATGTAATATCATAGGACGACAGGATAAGTCAGTGTAGGAGGGACTGCAGCCAACCTCCACTCAAAGCAGATAGATAGTTTTGAGGTCGGACCGGTATATCCACAGTAACTCTGAATGGCAAGTCTGATTTTACTCTGTGAAGAATTAGATATAAAACAGATGCAAAGATATCTAGCCAAAATAAAAATCCATATTATGTATATATAGTTAAGTTTTAGAACCAATCCGTCCAGAATGGAAGAAAACAATGAATTATAAATATCGAGCAGTACAGACTAGTTCCTTCTAGAAGGAAAAATTAGGACAGGACATACATCACTAGTGTTAGAAAACATAGGAGGGAGGGGAAGAGATGGCAATGATTGTATTAAACTGCAGATACAAAGCAAAACCATGCAGTAAGAAACGTTTTGCGCATGCATCGAAGCTCAGAGTTTTGCTCTCTCTCTCGCCGCAGCCGGCGCTGAGAAGGAGCCTGTGCTCCAGCTCGGACTCTGTCCCATAAAACCCACACCAAGACCCGAGCTCTTCGTGCTCTCCTGTGGCTGGAAGGCAGCACTGCAGCAGCTTGTTGGCACCTAAAGCAATGGCAAAGAGGAAAAAAAAAAAAAAAGAAGTTTAATAGTCCCTTAGTAGCCCTATTTCTCAGTGTGGGTTTATCCCGATTATATGATGTTGATTAACAGAATTTTAACCCTTTCTATAATTTGAAATCGTGACATTTGCAGCTCCTGCATTGCCTTGCCTAAGGCGAATATGGCAGCAGCAGCTTACTCCTCTCCACGATCCCCCGGGCTCCCCTCCGCTCAGCTGCAGCAAACCGACCCTTTTCTTTTCTTGGACGTCATAAAAGGCATTTCTGTTTAGCTTGGGAGCTCCTACACAAAACCTAGGCCCCTTGGGTGACCTGTTGGGCTCTGGTCCCTTTCACCTTCTGAGATAATCCTGGTTCGTGTCTTTGATTTAGTGGTAGTCTCTAAAATCCCCGTCTACTCCCATTTCCCCGAACTAATTAGTGAAAATGTTGATCATTGCACGCTTTACTATGGTATTTCTGGTCTTGCAATTAAAAATAACAAAAAATGTAACAAAGAAGGACTTCTTACAAAAGTTATCTTGAATATTAATAAATAGTCTGTAGTATCCAGCTGGAAAAACATTAAAGTTTCTTTCCAAAAAGGCTAATACTCGAGAGGACCATTTTCTTCCCTCCGAAGCCACTCTCTGCAGCTGTACCTGTTTCACTTTCCAGGGGCAGGTCTCGGGGCCTTTGCCCCGAGTGGCCGCATCTCACTTCATAGGCAAAATGTGTAAGTCTGTAAAAAAACAACCTTAAGGTCAGAGTGCTGCTCCCCCAGCCCTGGGTGCCATGGTGTTTCCAGCTCTGTGACCCCTCACAGGCTTTTGGCTTTGCTTTGTGTGTCCCAGGTGACATTAAGACAAAAAACTCAACGCTAAAGTTATGCGTGCTCTTCTCTGCTTCGGTATTCTACTCCTGGGTAGCATACAGACAAATTTAAATTAAAAGAACCCCTGAGCACAAGCTCTGCTGAGGGCTGTATTTCACCCAGGCTGAGCTACGTGGGGTGGTGTGGGGTAAGGGTGATGGGCTGTGGG